GTTGGCTTTGTCAAGAGCCCACTGCACAATCATGGGCAAGTCTCCATGCTGCTCTGTGCCTCAGTTTCTCTGTTTATTGTGTGTGGACTGACTTCTAAGCTCTCTTCCCTAAGAACTAAAGAATGATAATTCAAAGTAAGATTTACCTTTCATTTGCCAGTTACGTTTTCCTTAACGGTGCTTCAGTTTGAAAAGCATCTAAAGAGGAGATGAAAATCTTTTTGTTAAAAATCTAAGTCAAAGATATGCTTTCAATTTTACAAAAAAAAAATAGCTAGAAATGGTACTTATTACAAGTATGTGTGGTACTAATTAAGAAAACTGATGTATTTCCCAGCAATATTTTCAGACAATTTATAAGCCAAGTCTCTACCTCTTAAAGGTATATTTATGTATGCTCTAAATAAGACCTTGATTTACAACTTTCATTCTTTGGTCTTAGTAATGTGAAACTTCTCTCTACAAATCTGGGGCTCTTCTTAGCTCAGTGTCCTCACTTCCCCTTGTCAAAATAGTTAAGGGGTCTTTATTCTTCTCAGTTAATTATAACATTAAATTAAAAGTTTCATATGGTGGTGATTTTAAAACATTTCACTTCATCTGGCAAAACTGCCTCTCCTAAACCTGCTTCAGTCATAATTGTTACCATCATTGTGAGGATCTATATAAAATATTTAAGTTTTTTTTGGTACTGGGGATCGAATTCGGGCCCTTGTGCTTGCAGGGCAAGAGGCGAAACCACTGAGCTAAATCCCTGGACCAAATCTTTAAGCTTTCGAAGATCACACTTTGAAATTTTATTCAAAACAAAACCTATCTCATAGTAATATCTAACAATAAGGGGCCGCTGACCTCACTGAACATACTTTGACAGCCAGGACAGTTCAGAACTTCCCCCAGAGTCAAGGAAATAGGCATTTAGACCCCAAATCTCACAATCTAATGCTATGCCAGTGGTTTATCCTTGTTTTTAGCCTTCTTTTGTAGTCCAAGTTTCTAAAGTTGCCTGGAAAGTAAAATATCACACTCAATTGCTCAGACTTTTATCCTGTACTTACAATTACATCTGATTTGCGGTCTGGCCATGGGTCAATATGATCCGACATTAGGTTTATTTTATCAGCCTGGTATCAAGCTTCCTCACTTTAGCCAGAAATTAAAATAGCAGCTTTAAGCTTCTCCCCACTGTCAAGTGGTTCAGTCAGTATGACTTGCAATATTTTTATAATGACCATATATGTGCTCTTCACAAAAGCTGGATATATAATCCTTGTATTTATTTACCATAGCACAGGCATTTCAACTTATACAAAATCCTTTTTTCTTTTCTAACTGGTAGTGGCACAAACCATGCCATAAACCTATAGAGGGAGTATGTGAAATGGTAGCACACATCTGCAAACCCAGCACTTAGGAGGCTGAGGCAGGAGGGTCACAAATTGGAGGTCAGCCTTAGCAAGACCTTGTCTCAGAAGATTAAAAGGGTTGAGGCTATAGCTCAGAGGTAGAGCACCCCTGGGATCCATGCCCAGGATGGGTGTTCGGGAAGCTGTTTTACCTGGTCGTTTGAGTAAAGCTCAATACCAACATCACCCTTCCTCAAGTCTCCTCTCCAGTTTTGCAGCCAGTAGTCAGAGAGGAAAATAAAAATACTAGTGGTGGCTAAAATGGTCATATAATCTTCAAATGATTGAAAAGAAAACATTCCAAATACAAAAGTAACTGGACAGAAGAAGCTCCCTGTCGTGTAAGTCAGAGAAATGACAAATGCCCTCAGACTGTCGCAGTTCATTCCTGGCTTTGACGCGGCAGCCTCGGTGTGTGGGATTCGTGTGCAAGGCCAGGCAGTCCACAGCCCAGAACCTGGGTGCCGAGTTCTCTTCGCGCTTCCTATAACCTTGATCAAATCACAACATCCCAGTCATATAGGAAAAAAGAATCCCAGAAGCTATCTGCCTTCTGCACCAGTGCATAGCCCTCCTCCTGGCTCCCCAGGGTAATCATTTCAGACGGTCCCAGGAATATGAGAACTTACTCCTCGTCAATTTGAGGACTTATATAACGAAATCAACCCTCATGATGCCTTCCACGGCTTAGGTTGAGCCCCAAGTTTTACCGCTTTGCCTCTTTTTCTTGATGTAACCACAAGGAAATTAAAGGTAAGAGTTCACAAATATTGCAGATTCATTCCATCGTGTTTTAAGCCTAAATCTGATTTTTTCTAAAAAAATTCTTTATCATCTTTACTTCTTACCTCCTCTCCACCAAAACTATGTAACATTTGAGGTGTGCACACTAAACCAGCCTTCTAAATTTTCCATTTAACTCAAAAATAGTCACCTTCATAGAAACAGTGGGCACACTTTAGTAAATAGCAAGGTTCCACATCCCCTAAAATGTGGACTGTTATGAATAAAAAGCTAATTGATTAGAGAGAATAGCAAACATTTGTTTTGAAAATGAACACGGATTTGCACTACCAAGGAGTTATTTTGTGGAATGAGACAAGCGGATTCTAAAGATTCTGCTTTTGTATAAAAATGCTAAGGGCCAAAAATACCCTAACCACTTTAAATAGTAATACGGCAGGCCTTGCTCCAGCCTTCCTACAAAGCTACCATAAATAAGGCAGCACATTATTAACACAAATAGTTCAACATATTCCCACCAGCTTGAGCACTGATGGTTTATGCAGGACTGACTGTCCCATCAGACAGCCTGTACTGCTGGTGATACAGATGGATCTAATCACTTTTATTGGTCTTCTTACTAATAAAATTAATAAGAAGTCTGTAAATTTCACTAGCTGCTTGAATTTGGATAATTATTCCCCAAATATAAAGATTAATACTACTTATACAAATTTAAAATTATGATATCAACAAATTTCATTAATATGAATTTGTGACTAGTTTGTCAATAATTAATTCTCTAAATTTTACCACAAAAATCTTGGGAGTACCCCATTGCTGGTATAAATAATATGCATTTATAATTGTTGTACTAAAAATTAGCTGTATTTCAATTTTTTATGGCATTTTCATGTTTTCCTTAAGGAACTGTAATAGGATGACATCTGGTCTGCTACATCAACGCCTTCCTTTGCATTACTGTAATTAAAGGCCCCCTGAGAAGCAGTACAATCCGCCCGATGGGACAGTCATGTCTGCCCCACCAGTGGCTCAAGCTGATGGGAAATACTAAATATAAAGCAGGGACGCATGGCAGTGAGATAGAAGAATTACAGCCCCATCATCATGTGTCAATGACACTGAAGAGAGAAGCCTGAAAGTGGCAAATAGATAGATGCTTGCTATGCGGCAGAAGTGTACAGAGGAGCAGCTGATAACCACATCCGCTCCACAGGAAAGGCCCCTTCCTCACCCCACCATAAATATAGGAAAGACCCAGCACGAAGGGCAAAGTTGCCAAGCATGAACCATTAAGATTTTAAAGGATAAGAATATACCTCATGACTTCTGGAGAGGCAATTCCTTTAAAAAGACACAAAAAACACAAAGCATAAGAGTGACAGATTTGCCACTGAAATTAAAAATTTTCATCATCAATCCAGCATGAAGGTGAAGGGGAGAAGAAACAAGTACAACCAATCAAACGCCATATTCTTTGTTTAAGTATCGCAGACCAGCATCCAGAATGTATCCTATAAACCACAGGAACAGGGAGAAGCTAACAACACAACAAAAAAGGACAACGTTCAAATGGACACCTGTCAGACATAATCCAGTGGCTAGTGAACATCGGATAAAGGTCAATGCCATGCCTCATTAGGGAAATGCAGAACAAAACCAGCGAGTATGCCTGCTAATAAACATCATGCTGGCTAACACTGAAGTCTGGTAGTACTGTGACTCTGATACACAGTGGAGAGGGTGCAGGAACATGAAAAGTCAACGATGTGCATGCCTAACCCAGCAAGTCCACTCCTGGGTATACACTCGACAGAAACATGCATACGGGCGCAAAGTACTGCTCGTCACAGGCAAAATCTAGACACATCCCAGAATAGACATGGTGGCACTAATGAAACAGTACTGTATACAGCAATGAAAATGAACCAGCCACACCCATGACATGAATTTTCTAAGCAATGTTAAGGACACCAGACACAACATACAGAATGATTCAATCTTTATAGGAAGCAAAAGTAGGCAAAGAAAGTCATATTGTCACATAGTAACCAGTAGAATTTTTTGTTGTTGTTGTTAAAGAATGGAGGGGAGACTTACTAGTCAGGAAAGTAGTACCCTGTGGGGACACAGGGTGGTGGAGGCTTTCACTAGGGGACACAGGGAGATGCTAGAGTGCCAGCAACAGCTTCTCTGCCTCAGGGTGTGCTTAGCTGCTGGTTGTCCACTGAACAGCATACTTGTTTTATATATTTTTCTGTGGGCTATATTTCACAAAAATTCCAAAACAGGGAATTTGCTTTCTCAAATGTAACACCAGTTAAAGCCCCAGAATGGTTGATAACACAGAAAAAAATCAGAATGCCCAGAAGTAAACCAAAGATGTAAAAGACACGTCAAAATTTAATATTCTATAAATATAGCATTACAAAGGAAAATATTGGCTTACAATACTGAAGCAATTGATAAATTCTTTGCAAAGATCAACCTTACATCAATTCCCAAAGTATCTCCAAATAAACATTGATCAAAATTTTCTTTTCATTCGTTAGATTAAATGAATTATGTGTATAAACAAAATTCCTACTGAATTAGACAATTGTAAAAAAGAAAAGGCAACAAAAACCCAAAACCAGTGTATTTATCCATACCTAGGTTAAGACAAGAATGTTCAAGCACACATGTAAAGCCAGACTTCTAAAGAAAACTATGCTAAAATACCGTAAGCTGCACAAAAAAGGCAACTAACACAAACATTATATGACAGGGCCAGAGATTTAGCTCAGTGGTTCAGCCGCCTGCCTTGCAAGCACAAGGACCAGAGTTCAATCCCCAGTACCAAAAAAAAAAAAAAAAAATTATATGACAAAGGATGGATGTTCGTAATTTATAAAGAATTTAAACCAAGAAAAAGGGCTCTCCAAAACAGTAACAGGACAAAAACACATGAAAAAGCAGTTCTCAAAAGAATGAATCGAAGTGGAAAATAAAAAAACATGCATCACTAAGCTTTTTTCTATAATTAACTTGCAAATATCTTAAATAGTAATTTAAATTCTGGGTGATTGATTGCTAAAGGGAATAAAAGTGGACACAATCTCTGAAATGAGTGATATACAGCAAAATTCTCAAAAACTTACATACCTTTCCTCCAGCAATTTCACTTCTTAAAAAGTCTCTGGAAATAAATGTATCCATGTTTTTTCTGGGGTTTGGGGGGGTACCAGGAACTGAACCCAGATTTTGGCACCGAGCTACAATCCTACATTCCTCTGCTTTTTAAATTGAAACAGGGTCTCAATTAGTCATTAAATTGCCCAAGCTAGGCTCCAATTTATGATTCTTCTGCCTCAGCCTCCCGGATCGCTGGGATTACAGGTACGTACCACCATACCTGGTAGAGGGAATTATCTTTTAAGAAACTGAGCAAATCAATATTGAGATTACATAATAAACAAAAAATAAGAAATGATTTTTAAAAATATGGTACTCCCATGAAAAATACTCTATCTAAAATGCAAAGTATTTAATAAAGACAAATATTTATAATATTTAAATGTTCATATTATCTGTGAAACAATACATGGTATGACTGCATTTTCAAAGTATAAATGTACAACTATGCATAGAAAACTAAGTAACAGAACGAACACTTAAGTGTTACAGGTTTGTGTCTGGCTGGTGGGTTTCAAGAAAATGAAAGCAAAATTTAGATACCAGTAAAATATCACCACTGGCATTTGAAGTTGCTATAATATTTTATTCTTTTCAGTACTGAATTTTTTGATAACATAAGTATTAATTCCTCTAGAGACAATATACAATCATTTAAAATGACAAACATGTCATGAGATTGAAACATGTATATGAGAATGAAGTTTTAAGGCCTATATATGACTTTATTGGGGGGAGAAAGCAAAGTATTGACAACTCAGTTTAACTTTTAAAAACTGGTCTCCTTATCAGACACATATGTCCCACACATAGACAGACACCCAAGAACAGCACCGATGCCCGAGATGCACCTCCTTTTATCCAGCTCAGTTGGCCAGGACATTTCCTGTTCCAACAGTTACTCCAGGCAAGTCTGACCTTCTAGTAAGACCCCCTCACCCTCCAGCATCTCCTCAAAGTATCCCCCGTTCCTGGAGAAGGAAGGGAACAGCCTTCTAATGTAAGACAGGACAGGAGACCTGCTGAGCTTTTCCTGAGCGCCCTTCCAATACTTCACTGCCAATAGCTCAGGACTCCATGCCCACTGCGCTGTCTTCTCAAAGCAGCTCCCTTCACTGCTCAGAATAGGAGGGAACTGACTTCCTAGTTCACTTCAGCCATCCAGGACAACTATGCACTCCACTGAAGGATGTGATAAATGCTATTTGGTAGAAGTAGACTAAGGAAAAAAGCAAAGTCATCTGATTTCACTTGGCTTAAAGAAAAAAAAAAATGTGTTGTACCACATACTAAAATATCAGATCAATGCACGACAAACTGCAAAACTTTAATACAATATGGTCAAACACAATATTCAAATATTAAATTTTCCAACACGGGAAGATCATCATCTGAAACACAAACTGGGCCTTTTCTTGTAGCTACCTTTGTGCAACTATATAAAACGTTTCCCTCAACTATGTCTGACACTGATCTTGATACTTGTTAGAAAGTCTGATGATATTAGGAAATGGCATCTCAAGCAGCGGAGACTTAGGAGGTCACCCCAACACCCATCTTCAGAATTCCTCATCGGAGGACAGGGCATCATCTTCATCCCTTACTTCTCGGTACTTCCCCGAAGACTCCCCTTCTGGATTGTAACTCTGAATCTTAATATGCAGTCTTTCAGCTAATTTTTGTGCAGCGAGCTTCGCTTGCATCTCCTTTAAAACAAAGAACAAAGCAAAAAGTTACACATTTGCATCTTCTCCTTACAATCTGTTAGTGGGAAGTTATTCTAACAGAATCTGAAAGGAAAGGGCATGGCACTCATTTAGTGACCTCCAGCAACACAAGGACACCGACAGCTGCCTCCTACTCCAGATAGCAGGTCAATGTCTATGACAGTGATGGCCTGCGGCAGCTGTGCTCCCTGACTTCCATCAGAAAACAGCACTGCGCTAAAATGTCCTCTGTGTCAGGACTCAGGGGTTGGCTCAGTGCTACAAGTTATAAACACAGACACACTAAGTAAGCATGTGGGCACACACATGTGCATATACACACCAACACAGGAAGTGATCAGATCAATTCACATCAAACATTATGAATAGGGCTGGAGATTTAGCTCAGTGGTTCTGGCGCCTGCCTCACAGGCACAAGGAACCAGGTTTGATCCCCGGTACCAAAAAAAAAAAAAAAAAAAAATCACAAATATATGTTTATTTCTCAAGATGTCAGAGCCTTCTTCCCTAGGTTAAATCATGGCTTCTGGGCCTAAGAATTACATTTCCATGGCACAGGACAATAAGGTATTAATTCTAGTACCATATAAGGTCCTATAGAAATCACACCCAGAAAAAGCCCGAGTGTTTTCAGCCTGGCTGTGCACTCACACATGCTGAGGATGTGCCCAGCAGGTGCGGCAGGGCGGCTCTCCCTCCTCCGTGATATTTGAACTTCATGCCTTTCTCCACAGCTATGAATGTTATGAGCAGGTACACTGAAAGCTACAACTATTACTCTTGCAAAGAAACCAATTTCACCTTGAAGAGTTAAATTTAACCTAAGACTGACTGAAGATAGGCATTTTAGATGCCACAATTTAAAAAACATTTCCTCAATGCTGGAGTTGTAACTAATAATAATTTTAATACACTGAGAAGAAGGAAAATGATAAACCACTGTCTTGAAAATGCCAAACCATGCTAATTGAGCATTTATGAAAGGCCAAGGCAGACTAGAAAGTAGCTCCAGTTGCTGTTTTCCAGGTGGCTCAAATTACTACAAACCAAGCTTTATCTACTTTTGACCCCTTGGTGGTCCTCACACTGATTTTCTCCTGCCCTGTTAAGCCAAACACAAACTATGCAGACCACAGGGATCTTTGGAGAAAGTGCTAAAAACTGATGTAGATGACGAAAGTAGGACTCTTCTCTCTGCACACAGGCCTGACTCCGGATGTCTGTTGGCAACACAACCCTGTCCCCACCCCTTCAGTGCTGCCCCGTATCAAAGAAGAGGCAAGACTGAGAACCCATTTCCCAGTGATCCTAGCAGGCCGGGACTATATCCCACAAGTGAGGAACCCAGTGGGTTTCACAGGAAGAAGACAGGACACAGTGTTACTGCTACCCCAAGGAACGCAGGCCACGCCTGGGCTGAAAACATGACACTGCGGTCCTCTCCTTGGGAAGTCACACTTCGATGCTGCAGAAGCTACGGCTGCCATCAGCTGCTGCACGCAGTTTTAGCAATTCTGTGACTCAAAAACTGGTGGCACATCTCTGAGAGCTCCTGGTCACCTCAACACCTATCTCTTATCATATCCTTCCTCCTTGAACTCCTCAGAGTTAATCCTAGCATAATGAGCATCCAACACAAAAACAAGAACAACGTGGTACTTGAAATACCTCAAAATTCTGTTTCTGCTGTTGCTGAAGTGCCAAAGATTCTTCTATAGTCAGCAGCTGTGTGGGAAGATGGCGCAGTGGCAGGAGCCGCACTGCCGTGATGTCATCGAGATGCTGCTTGTCCCTGCACCGCCGTTCCACGGAGGAATCAGGAGACTCTCCCCTGTGGCAGTGACCAGGTGGACCAGTGTCCTGTGATGGTAACCTGTAGACAGAAGGACTTATGTTACAAGATCACACGCTCTTCTTTCCATAGACACAACCAAAACTCTCTCTCTCACTCTCTCTCTGTCTCACACACACACACACACACACACACACACACACACACACACACACACACAGTGTCCTGTGATGGTAACCTGTAGACAGAAGGACTTATGTTACAAGATCACACGCTCTTCTTTCCATAGACACAACCAAAACTCTCTCTCTCACTCTCTCTCTGTCTCACTCACACACACACACACACACACACACACACACACACACACGGCCTTTAATCCCAGCAGTTTACCCACACTCAGTCTATGTATGTACACAAGGGTATGTATGTACACAGATACAAGCTCTTTGCCTTTTCCTCCCCTTTCCACCTTATATTCAAACTGAAGTTATTATTTCATTTATTCACTCAAAAAAATTTGCAAAGGAGCTTACTATAAATAGCTTACCATAAACATGCAAACAGTTTCAGTACAACATAATACCATGAGTACTAAAAGACATGATTTGTTCTAAGAGAAAGAGAAGTTATCAGAAAGGCTTCAAGATCAGGCTTGGCTTAGGTGTTCAGCAGGTGCGTGAGGGGAGAAGAGTATTCCAGCAGTGAATGGGGTAAGAAGGCTAGGAGCTGGGCAGCACAGTACAGAAATTGCACGGAAAGCAATGGACACGAGCTCGGGCCTAGGCTACAATGTCTATGCGACAGGTTTGAATTGTATTTTAAATTCCACTCTGGCAGCAGATTGCCAGTGAAGTGGAGGAAGGACGGGCAGTTACAGCAGGAGCAGTCCAGTTACAGCCCAGAAGAGAGATGAGCACCTCCACTCTGACAGGAGAGAATGAAGAATGATTCTAGAAATGAAGAACAAGGAAATGGATTATGGAGGGTGAGGAAAAAGACACCCTGGGCAAAATAAAGAAAGAAAGGTGGTGGTAGCATCACTAACTTGGAAATATGGCAGTAAGTCTGGGAAGACACTTGAGTTCCACTGCAGTGGCCGTGTTTCATGGCTGACTGGCAGTACCAACCTAAAGTTACTGGGAACATGGTAGACAGATCAAAGGCAGCCTCCAGTAACCAGGTGGAGAACACAAAGCCAGAACATGAAGGCCAAAAGAAGAGCAGAAAAGCCAAAGTACAGGTCAGGTAGAATGGCTGCTAGCATGCGTGAGGCCCAAGGTTGAATACCCAGCGCCATTTTAAAACTAAACAAACAAAAAGAGCCAAAGGACATGAGTTCATCCTACTGCCCACCCTCAAAGCCACTGTTCACCCACAGAAGCCCAATGCCCACTGGTCTGTGCCTACTGACTCTTCCAGGCTTAGCTTGTCTCAGGTGCCTTCTACCTGTCCCTCTCTTAAACATCCCTGATCCTTGGGTGCCTTCTTTGCTAGCTGTTCATCTCAATTTCCAGCTAAATGCTCACAATACAGAACTGTGACCAACTTTATTTTCTTGTATTTGTTAACTGAATGATGCTTCTGGTTTTATAAAATGTTCTAGAAATGAAGAGATACCTCGTTGCATACAGGACAAGAATATTTGATGAAAGATTACTTTTCATTCCAAGGAAGAAATGTAGTACAATGCATTTCCTGTACAGCAGCAATGTTTTGAGGTTAAAAAAAAAAAAACATGAAATTGTACAGTAGCATTAAACTTTAAGCATGTTTTAGGTATGTCTAAATATGGGATTTTCGGGCTTTCAAAGAAAGGTATAACAGTGGCTTTTATTGTACATTAACATCCTTGTAAGTACACTTAAACATTCTTTCCTTTTCAAGGAACTTTTCATTTTTCTGGAAATATCAGAAGCAAAACTATGGCAAGAACTCAGAAGCCAGAATCAAATTTTAATATTTTAGCTCTTCTCATCTGCCTTTCCGTGATCCCACGCTGTTATTATTATATAGTTACATTTTTCCCCAAGGGTTTGAATAGTGCTTCTCATCTAGACCCTGAATTCTGAGGAATGGAAATTTTATTTCACTGTACCACAGAGCAATGCTGCTTGCACACAGCGAGCATGCAGACAGGCCCATCAGTTCCTGCAATTGTTTCTCCCTTCACTTACTGGTTAATCAAAGGGGAGCTGCACACCAGAAAATGGTAGTGGCAAAAAAAGCCAAATAAATTGCCTCTCCAATTCTGTGTTTATTATGAAATATTGGCTAAGAATACTGAAATTCAATATTCCCCATCTGCTACTTAAAACCTTTTAAATTATTTGGCTTCAAAACGAAAGTATTTTTCAACAGAAATCCTCCACTCCTGCCAAGCTGGTCTCGCTATTTCCACACTGTGCTCATTCCTACTGATAAGTACACTCACATACACCCTGCTGAACTTAAAAGCACTCATCCTACTTTTTGAGTTTCACATACACTATGTCCTGTGACAGGACGGTTCCCAATGATACTCACACATTGGTTTTAAACTTCTGTGGTGGGGGCACAGGGTTTTTGGCTCGCATTTCTAGCACGTTCATGTAATGAGGCCTCTTAGGAGGCCCAATACAGAGGCTCGTCAAGGTCTCTGCACCCGTGCTTGCTCCTGAGTGGTGTTCACCTTGGTCTGCAATCGTGATCCTTTGCAACTTGTCAATAAACAGGTTGTCCAAGCTGCTGGAAATATCATCTGTCTGACCTGAAACACAATGCTGCGGGACACGCTCCACAGCCTCAGTTGGGCAAAGCGTCCTGGCCCTGCTGTTGGAAGCTGGGTGCTGGTTCCCTGTGGACTCAGCCTCTGGAGTCTCTTCATTGTCTTGGTGAGGATGCACAAGTTGCTGCTTTTCTGGAGTTGTTTTGGATGACTTGATTTTATCTACAGGGGAACAGCCAGGAACTAGTGACGAAGTATCAAGCATCTGGTCAGAATTTGGGGTCTTCACTATGTCAACATCAACTCCTGCAATTGCCTTTTGCCTTTGCTCAAAGTCTACACTAACAGGGTAAAACAGTTCACTTTTTCCTCTGTTCTCTTCACGTTCTGCAATGGCAGATTTTAGTTTGGCAATGGTGTCTGAGATCTTTTTACCTTTGTCGGGCAATTTGCAAATGAATTTTCTGTCAAATGGAAAAAAACATGCACACATCAGAATCATGTTTTTAAACTTGAAACATAACATTTAAAAGGTAAAATATTATTCTCAAAGGGAGAAAAGCTGATTTTTAAGTCAAAAATATGATTTCTAAATGGCCCCAAACAGGAATGAAACAAAGAAGCTATTCAAATGCCCCCCCACCCCAGAAACAAGAGACAGCTAGAATAGGGGAATATGATTCACTTGTCTCTTCTAATTAAAACTTCAGCAAGTGTTAAAAACACAGATTGAGGGGCCAGGGATTTAGCTCTGTGGTGCCGCTGCCTGCCTCACAAACACAAGGTCCTGAGTTCACTCTTCAATCCTGGGTATCAACAATAACAACAACAAAAACCACGAGTTGAGCATTCCTAATCATAAACATTAAATGCTTCAAAATCTGAAACTTTTTATGCCCTAATATGACACTACCAGTGTGAAAGACCACACCTAACCTCTTGTAACAGGTTGCAGTAAAAATACAGGCACACCAAAAAATACTATTTTTAGGCTATGTCTGTAAGAAAGCCTTGGGTCCCAGACCAAAGATATTTCATTATGTACATACAAATATCCCAAAACCCAACAAAAATCTCAAGATTCAAAAATTTTCAGGTCACAGCATTTAAGATAACACATAATCTGTATAATAATCATTTTATTTTTCAAATCGGCAGTTTTAAAGTGTGATCTCCACGACCTAAGAGTGTGGAGATGGTCCATAAGGTCAAATTACTGACACAAATCCAAGATGTTAGCTGCCATTTCCGTCTCACTTTGTCCTGTGGATACAGTGCAGTTTCCTGGAGGTTAAATGATGTGATGACATCATTGTTCTGGAATTGGAATATGTGCTTGTGTATCCTGTTTTAAACCTTTCAGTTGTTTCTGATAAATCACTAAGCTTTGCTACATATAACATATAAAGAACAAGAGCTCATATAACATATAAAGAACAAGAGCTCTTTGGGAAGCTCACTATTCAGGGATTCCACCACCTGCCTCACAAGCACAAGGACCTGAGTTTGATCCCCAGTACCAAAAGAAACAACAACAAAAAAAAAAACAAAAGAGTACAAAGGGGTCCTGAAGCCAAAGAGTCAATTCACTGCTATATATTAAAAACCCACTCTCACAAAGTAAAATCATCCATCTCTAATAGAAGATTTCCCCCCACTCAACAAGTGATTATTTGTCCCTTTTGCTCAACAGAAACTCTTTTTCTGCTTATTTTTTCTTTAGGAGAGAAGGTCACATCTCTGGCCTATGCTTTTGGACACAAGACTCATCCCCACAATTTCGACTACATATTAACATCTCTCCGCAGGTTCCCTTCACGTTCCCAGCATTCTCCTCTCTCTTCCAGCTTTTAACGCTACCACTTGTAATTAACCAAATGTCTGCTAGGCTCTCCCTTCAATTCAGTACAACACTAAGTGAAAGCGACCTTGACTGAATCCATTCCTCTCCCCCGATTTTCCTGTTTGTTACTGGCTGTCCACACAGACTGGAAACGAGCCATCCCTGTCAACTACATGTTCAACTAAATTAGTTTTCTCAATCCCAGAACTACCTTCCTAGGCTACTTTCTCACAACCCCCTAGGTGGAAATCTCTCTGAAAACATCTTCCTGGGTCTTTTACCTGTTATTCCTTCAAAGCAACCAGTACCGTACTCTCCCCTAAGACCCGTTGAGTCGCCAAACCTCTGACACCCACTCTCTTAGGTCCTGAGTCCCTGAAGTTTAGAGGGAACTGGCGGCTCGTTGCAGGCACTGGAGGTGGGGACCACGGATTCACCGTGCGGGGGCTCCTGCACGGGCGCGCGGCCGGCCGGAGGGGACTCGG